CGCTCAGCGAAGTCATCGAAAAAAAATGTTGAGTGTGATTTCTGGTGTTGTTGACTATTTGGTACCGTATAGTATGGTGCTAGGTGTGTATTGCAGACGAACCTACAATTCAGCCCACTGAATTGCCAAGTGATCAGTGTGCTTGGATCAGGGTGAAAATCGTGTCGAGTACGCAGCGAAGAAGTACGACTCTCCTGAAATCGAGGTCTTGGCACGACCCCCTAAAACAGAGCATACGCAAAATCACAACAGCCGAGTGTATCGATCAACGGCCGATTCAACGGCAGCTGCGGCGCGATTTGTCCCTGGGTCAGATTTGCTGAAATCCCGAAAAAAAACCGTCGAAATCTACACCCTCGATGAAAAGGTTCCATTCCTCCATTTCCCAACCTTTGAACAGCACGCGGTAGGGTTAGATAGAGCTGGATTTGCTACTATCAGGCAGTATTGAAATTGCTATGAAAGCCTTCCATTCGAAGAGATATAGTCTCTCAAAATCCGTCGAGGGAGCGTCGAGGATGCTGGAATTTTCATGCGAGTTTTTGCCACTTAAAAGGCAATATCTCTCTAATTTCGCAAGATCTTGAAAAAGGAAGACAGTTTTGGAAAGCGGAAGGTTTGCGCTTTCTAACAGTATGTTTAGCTTCCTTCATTCTAGTTGAGGAGATATTTGCGTCGAGGATCTATCGAGGATGATTCTCGGCCGCTCAAAAAGCCGCTCCCTTCTTCACCATTGCAAGTGTAATTCGTTGGCAACGCTCGAAATGGTCTAGAATACATTCTTCCAACATAAGCAATAAGGAAAAGGGGCAATCGTCATCATCCGATTTTGTCTGAGTATAGGCCATGCATCCGACCTCACTCGAAGTTGCAGAATCGATTGAAAGGTGTTATATGATCATGACCAGTTGACAGAAGCTGCATTGTAGTAAACACATTTCGTAACTCCTACAACCTGAAGAACAACTTCATTTGCCCAGGGCTTTTCCTTCACGGTTGTCGTTTTTGCGACAGGGTCCCTAACAACAGTGTCATTCTCAGCGAGGTATTAAGGGAGAAGGAGCGAGCGATAGGCGGAGGAGGTGCCTTTGCAGCGCGTGCGCACATGTGGCAGTTCTTTGCGGGGATGCACTTTCATTCTTTGTACTGCCTTCAAATACGCCCTTCTCATGAAGGTAGGAGGAATGGAGCGACTGAACCTGCAAAGAATATTGTTTCCTGCTGCGCTACACCCTCTTATTCCTATCTGCACCACGATACCACTGATGTTACTGACCCCCAAGAGTACGACCCCCCATGACCAGCCCGACAGGTACGACCCCCCTGTCGAGGATTTCCTCGACCGATATTCACCCTGGCTTGGGCGACTAGAATGAGATACAATCTCAAGATCGTTCGTTTCATCCAGTAAGTGGAACGCTTTCTCAGAGAGATCGCTTGCATATTGTAGGTTATCAGGCTCAGAACTTTACGATTTCGCTATTGTATACGTACACCTCCTCGCACACGAGATGTGAACCATCAGTATCGGGCATTACCTAATGAAAGTATTTATTTTTATTTAGTCTGTATCCAAATTCACTGTAATTATTTGAACGAGGGACTGCCCCGGACCACATAGGAATCAATATGGAGACAAACACGGTTCATAGATTGAGCACCTTTTATCGACTAAACGCGTCTCTGATCCACCTGATCGCACATACCACCGGGACCTTAATCATACGGACAGCCAGCAGACAGCGCTAGTTCCGGACTTTTTGCAGAGAGGCATCCAGCTTCTATGGAGCTGATGCTTTAATTAGCTGGTCACCGCCGTCATTTTCATTTTAGTCCTGTTAAATCCGGATTGAACGTAGCATTGCGAGGTCAACTGCCCTGATCGAAACTCACAACGGCGGGTAGGGGTGTGCGGAAAACGGGTGAGGATGGTGACTGATTGGTTGTCTCTGTCGCTGTATGGAGGCCACTGCCAGGGTCAACCCTACGTTGTTACTAGTAACAACGGGGGGTCGTACTTGGTTGAGTTTGTAGGAGGGGGGTCGTACCCGTTTCAGTCGTTGAAACCACATGTGAAACTGTTGAGGGGCGTAGGAAAAAAGTTGCCGTTTCAGCGCGCGTATATACCCCCCTCGACGGCATTTTTGGAGGAAAAAGTGGGCGGAGTTTGGTGGGTTGAGTGGTATCAGAATTAAATACTATAGAGAGATGATGGTGGTCGAGGTGTCGAAAAGGGGGTCGTATCAAATCCACCTTGGGGGAGGGGGGTCGTAAAAATTTTTCAAAAAGTAACAACGATAGGGTTGACCCTGCCACTGCCATCAATCTGTATGTCATTGGAAACAAAGTTTTCTGGTTTTGACAGTGAATATTTTTAAGTTTCGTTTGGATTTTATACTAGTTTCGATTCTGTTGGCTGTAGTGGAATCCCGCCGTCGATCCAATGGCTTGTATACACTCAGTACCCTACGGAGAAACCCTTATGGGAAGGGAACTCAAAAGTAAACCATAATGTACATGAAAGGTGTTGTGGTCGCAAAATACGGGACATTAGGTGCCAGTGTATGAAACGCTTAAAACATACCCATTAGAGTTAAAACATGACTAAGCCTCAATCGGTGGAGGAGAGACCTCAGAGTGCGCGGGCAATTTCCATTTTTTTCCCGGAGTTTCTGCCCCTCCTAGGATTACTTCCCGTATCTTGCAATGGGGCCCGCTGAGAAATTGTCGACGTAGGTTCAACCTTCTTGAAGCCACTCTTCAAGCTCCATTAATTAATTGCACCCTTCAATAAAATAGGATTTGTGGACTATCGTCGGCAATGTAGCATGCATTGAAAGAGAGAAAAACCCATTTTCAACGATCACAATTGAAAGCGCAACACTGGCTTAAAACACGTTTTCCGAATGCTAAATGTGCTATGAATAAATAATTTGTGATTTTGAACCTCAAAACCCTGTTAGGGTTTTTTTATCACGTTTTTGATTTGCCATAAATCTTTAGCATCTGTGATGATGGCGCTTCACGACGATAGAGGGTTGTCGGCAGAACGATCCCGAGAATTATTGAGATGGCGAAGAGATCAAGCGTTCCGGGTTTCTCGAGGGCGTCCCTGGTTGATATGGGGACGAGTCCTCGAGTGGTAGAGACGCAGAGGGTGGGGAATCCATTCCCGGCCAAACCGATGCTGCGCGTGCAGCCTCTGGTCTACGGACCACTGAATCCGGTCCTTCAGTTGCATCAATGTGCTGCCCTTGTCTGCGCTCTCTCCCCCGGATAACGTGCGTTTCATGACTGCTATTACTGCCCGCATCAACACTTTTGCCAAACGGTACGTGGCTTCTCCGCCCGAAGTACCCCCTTGCTGAGCACGGACTTGGCCCTTCATCCTCTCCTTCTAGCTTCTCTCCATTAAGACCCGGAACCTCCATTCGTCCTCTATTCTCTTTCTTTTTTCTAGCTCTCTTCCGCGGGAGCAAACATCTAGGAGGGTCCCCTTCCCTAAAGCTCCTTCCTAGGCTTGTTAAGGTACCCACTAATCACAGGGCCTCCCATAAATATTGCACCACTTTTCTTTACTTGTAACTTCTTTCAAAATGTATGTATATTCAAGAAGTTTTACAGAAATTTTGCCAATACATTTACATATTTGAAGGGATGATACCCATCGGATACGATCCCTTGTTGTTGTGAGTATGGCTCCCATTGCTTCAAACGCAACTCTACTGTGGCCCGCATGGCATCCTGGGGTGTTCTCTTCGAAACTTTGCAGAGAAAAGGCTCCGGCTCATCCGTGTAGGATGCAATGTTTAGTGCAGGCTTTGCCCCTAACATATCCCTTTAGGATGGTCCAGCACGCTGGAATCAAGGGATAGGAGAGCCATTCGTTCGAGGATGTGAAATCGGAGAGAGTGCCTCAACAGCGCTCCTGAACAATTTTTGCCTCCTATGCAGAAGCTGGGTCCTATTGAAAAGATCATCACCCCTCCTCAAAGTGGCTAGATACCTCAGTAACAGATGGTGCACCGAAATGTCCCTTGGCTCGGTCTAGTATCAAGTTGTATTCCTTTGTAAACAGGCAGTGATGGTGAGCGAGCGGTAGTTGAGACCCCGTCCAGACCACGATAAGGTTCGATTGCTGCCTGTAGCAAATATCCCTTCCACTCTCACTGACTTCCCTAAGACCTCGTGCGTTCATCCCGGAATTTGAAGATTGTAGCTCTGCTCCATGTGAGGAATTTTGTCGTCGATGAAAACGGTGCCCGCGATTCGCCATTTTCGGCCCTCGACACCAGCTCTTTGAACTTTTTGTCTCTGCTGTGCTCCTCCCGTTGGATTGAGCAGTGGTGCTTATGCAACTTATAACGGACTGTGAGCAGTTGTTATCCGACAACTCTCTACATGGCTGTGTTAAGAAAGGCCGGCGTTCTGGTCATTTTCTCGAGCCAACCTGGGTATTGCAGTCGTTTCGCTTCATAATGCTTTTCCTGAGATCCAAGATGTCGGAACTTGTGGGGCAGTCGCAACAAAGACTACTTTCATTGCTCTTTCATCCAGTCCACAGTAGGCCGTGGAGCGTGTAAAAATCCAAAGAAGCGCGACGTTCATCACCAGATGTCCGTCCTTACTGCATGGGAGATTAGGACCTCTCTCGAGTATTAGGTGCACCATGAGATGTACAACGAAAGGTAAGCTGTGGAATTTGGCATGGTCATTGACAAGAGGATAGGGAATTGAAAGGTCAGTCAACCTCGGAAGAAAAGCTATAAACAGCTACAGAAATTGAGCTCAAAATTTGGTTAATATTTATGGGACACCCTTTGCGAAAATGCGCAAGCGTGCTGCTTCTTGTGTATATTCCTCTTCAAAAATTGCTGGAAGCAAGTGTGACCATTCTAGCTGCATCACGTCACGTCTGGTGCTTTTTTCAGCTATCAATAGACATTCGGGACTGTGAAGGTGGTGAGGTCAAGCTGTACGATGCAAAGCAATGGCAACAAATGACAGATGCTGGTGACACCTTCTTTGTACCGTTTTTCTGTGCAGAGAACAGTACGACAACGGCTCAGTGTGCAGCTGGAACACAGAGCAAGTACCATGTTCAGGTGTGACTGACTGAAGTAGATGACTTATTTTGATATGTCTACTATATTGAATTTATTGGCTGTTGCAGTTCACGTCTTCTGATGGGCTCACGGAGATGCGCTCGTTTGTATGCACCAAAAGTAGCAACGATTACGCACCAACTGCCGTCGTCAAACGAACAGCAAGGGGACTTCGAGTGCAGCCAAGCGCTCAAGCCATTTTACAGAGGTAAATCTACCATAGATGATATCATGGAAGATAATACTCACATTTGATTCGAATTGTCTACATGCCGGAATAGGGAATGCCATTTCCTTAAATGAAAATGAAGAAAAAATGGCAAGAATCAAGAAAGAGCTTCCAAGAAAGAGCTCGTCAACCATTGATTGTTGACGGGTGCTTGGTGTCAGTAAGCGATTAGAACGGTCCAACCCATTGATCATGAACAAATTGAAAGGCACCGCCCGCGATAAAAAGAGTGCTTGGTAAAGCGTTATGCGCTGATCAATCCCCCTGTGGGCTGCTCTGCTGCGATTTGGCCGACACAAAGACCTGCGGGGCCGGGCAATACATTTTTATCATCCTCAACTGTCTGGTGCAAACTACACGACAAAGGGTTGATCGGCTTGGTTGGCCTGGACGATGTTACGATCGAAAATTTGATCCCCGCACTGCGTGCGTGACAAGCAGCGCCTCTTATCACTGGACCTATTCCATCTAACATTTCACTACCTCTCACTATAGGTGTGGTATACCAGGCCGAACCAATGAGGAATCCTTGACGCGCACAGAGAGTTCGGGTTATATTCTAAACTGTAGGAAGAGGTGGGGTCGTATTTTGTGAATACGATCACGCATGCATCAAGAGAAGAGAAGTGTGTCACTTTATAAGACGACAACAGTACTAGACGTGATTTCAAGGCTTTCCTTCCAGGACCATCTGGCAAGCTGCGGGACTGCTCTGACAGAGGACATCTCTTCTATGACGGCTCTAAACGCACCTACATTTGTGAATGCGATCCTGGATTCACTGGAGAATCTTGCGAAACAGGTACGGTAAATACCAGCTGGAACGACTGTTTTCTTATATGAGTATTTGTTTTACTGCAATGAACAAATGATTTTGCAGGAATTTGCACTCAATCCAACGCGTCCACTGAAGGAATAGATGTACAGTACCGTACTTATACGGTAGTAATCGGAGTGGATTCGATCAATTACGGTGTGGAGAGTGTGCTTCTAAGCGATGCAAGCAATATTGCGTCGCTGAAAGCTAAGCCGTCTACCGTATGGCGTTATCAGCTGATTGTATATTGTGATAATAAAATAGGTAAGCAAATTGCACGGCATATAAGGCAAAAAATAAACTGAAGTAACCGAACAGGTAATTTCTTTTTCAGCGTTACCGGTATATATTGGCGGAAACTACGATGAGTTCAATAAAGCAATGAAGTCAGATCTTAGAAATCTGTATTGCATAAGATCAGAACAACAGCAGGGACCATTCAATTTGGCCGATGTCTTCCAGGTTGCCGTCGGCGGTCTAGGTCGCCTTGTTCGGGGATTAATTGTGAGTCGAATTGGTTATTAAAGGCAGTGAACATGTTGGCTGGAGGGAGGAGCGATTTTGGTGGATTCGTTGAGCTTGATTGATGGAAGAGAGTTGGGAGATGGTCCCAACCACACCAACCCTGATGACGTCATCATACCACTCCACCCTCTAACCATCGTGTTCACTGCCTTTAAGCTTTTAATGGCTTTGCGAGAGCATCGCGCTGACAAGGAATGCGCGAAATGTAAGGTCTCTTCCCATCATGTCACACAAAGTCATTCGCCGAGCGCTGCAAAATAGCAGTCTCGCGATCAAAGTGCGCGACATTCACTTTTGCAGCTAAAAATCGCGCGCGGTGGGCCATACGCCCAGGAAGTGGGTAGCTACGCAACTTCTTAGCAGCCCAGTATCCTTCATCTGCGCGACTCTGCGCAATGACGTTATGAATGTAGAGCATTTTTATAGAATACATTGTTAGCGTACCGAACTTACTCACACATTCAGATATTCTACACTGAAAACCAGACGTATATGAAAGTCGATTTGGAGGAGTTCATCAGCGTCACGCGCAGTTATAGGCAGGAGGTAAGGTCATTTCAGTACTCGATATCGCGATTGCGCCATGCACTCGATCCATTCAAAGCGGAAGTGTTTGATGGTCAGGTCCACAGTGTCTACTGAGTAGACCAGTAATTGTACCAATATTCTTCCGGACGAGTTCGGTATCCCAGTCTGAATGCATTAGAATTACGCAAAGCTGGGTAAACCTGGGCGGGATCCGCCCGATTAGGGGCTTACGCAAGCTGCGTTACACCGCTCAAATGCTAGAGTAGAGGATTCAAAGACAGGTGGTGCAATAATCTGGTCTGCCGCTGAAATCAGAGGTGCTAGTGCAGCAAACCGATTTTTGTGCGCAGCAACCGTACTGACGTACTCATACTTTGTCCCTCCACTATAAAGCTGGGTTAAGACAGGCAAGCGATCACAGATGGGGTCACGAAGTGGTGAGCGTGCAAAGGGACAATTGTTTAAAGGGATTGGGAAACCCTTGATGGACTGCTGCAAGCGCTTCCCTTTCCTCAAACGCGCCACGTTTAGCTTCTTGGAAGCCAAGTATTTCCTCATAGTTGGCACATTTGCCCTTCCTAAACATGCAATTTATTGTGTCACCTGCCTTTAAGGCTGAGGCTATGTTGATGGCAGTATACTGTAGAGACCTAAAACTGAGCCTTTCAGCTGTATTTGGTCGCTATGGATGCTCAAAGACATGACTCGCTCGCGTATGATGATTACACGGATCTTCGGGCAGCAGCATTTGTGACCGGAGGAAATATTTTGTTCGTGGACGGTAATGAGCAGATGGTTGCACCTCGACTCAGTGTAAGTTAAGCAATTCGTATCGATCTTTTCAAAGGAATACGGATGCTTTCACAGCTTGCGATCGGACCCATCTGTTGATTGCGGATTTGAAATTTAAAGGCAGCGATCATGATGATGACTTATTGTTTGGACTGTGCGGCTTAATGACGTCATTTAAGGACAGTGGTGGACTAGACCCCTGAGCGTGCTGTTGGGCATTGTTAGGAACGCCTTTCAATGCCCTGCCATAATGGTGTTCAACGACGTCCACAAACTCGCACCGCCCGACAGCCATCGTGATCGCTGCCTTTAACTTTCGGTGTTGAACCACCGTACCTGGAACAAAATACGGTACAACCCTGGCGGCTACAATGGTTTCGAAATCCAAAAATGGATTGTACAACCACCGTGACTGAACAAAAATGGATATTTGACGGTGTACGCTATGCAGCACAGAAAAACACTTGTCCCCTGAAGAGTCCTTATCTGGTGAATAGTTTTGACCGGTTTGGAAAGGGAGAATGTGACTCGTCGAAAGGCATATTTTCAAGGAGTGTAAGGAGCAACAATTTCCAAGGAAACTGAAAAGTTTCCGCTGTTTCTTGGGTCGCTACTACTCCCTTCCTCCTCCCATTCCCTTCCCGCTCTCCTTCTAACCTGACCGATAGCGAAATTGAGAAAGCGGAGGTAAACGCTACGACAATTCATTGAATCGTGATACATCACCTCAACATTCTCGGTTTACAGATATCTATCGATTAGTTCGGGAGAGTCGTTAATGACCGTAACATCAAGTTGGCATATACAAGTGAAGATCACAAATGGTTTTGCATTGAAAAAGCAGAAGGGTTGGACAATATCGACATGCTGCTCATCCTTTTTTTTCCTCAAATGTCCAAGAGTCGATCGGAAACCCGTCACTGCGGCGTCGCGACGAAGCTGCGTTAGATTTCAGTGCCATTACCATATTCAATGAAAGGCGGATCTTACGATAGGACAAAAGGCAGCCGATCAGAACTCACGGTAGAAAAGATCAATGATGCAAGATTGAAGAGAAGTCTAGGAAAAATGGCCTCGTACTCGAGAAATGCTCCTTGATTGCTGCATCGGGGTGAGTCTCATTGATGGTGACGTCGTCAGTGTAAATGTCCTGGCCTTCATCTCACAAGGGGGTCTTTCAGGGCAAGCCGCGCTTTTTGGAAACGGTTTCTTGCATATTGTAGGGACGCATGTATGGACCACAAAACCATGTTTCGTTTTCGCTGAACGGTTTTAGTAGTACCAAAAAAGTGGTGAATGATACCCTTGATGGTTCGATCCCCCGCGGCGACTAAATTTTGCAATCAAGGTTGGCGGCCACTTGTTGGCTTCAAAATGGTCCTGACGATGAATATGACATCTGATTTTGACATTTAGCCGATTTGCGATTTGGCACCAACCAACCGTAGGCGCCAACCCAAATGCAAAATTTAGTCGCCGCGGGGATCGAACC